AAAAATTTTAAATCCTAGCTCTTTTCAACTTTCCCCCTCATTTAATTTTATCTTTTACCATACTTTACCCTTAGAGTTCTTTTTTACACTTTCATCTATTTCTTTAACTTCATTCAGATTTTCTCATCACTGTTAATTTTAATCCATTTACTCATTTATCTGTTCTAAACTTTCTAAATTTAACAAATGTCCCTCTTAACCTTCTGACATACTTTATTTTTTTCATCTCACTATTTAAAATGCGTACATGTAGCAGTTGAAGAACTTCTTGGGAAGAAGGCAGAGTAAGTACTTGTATGTAGAACTACCTGGAACTCATGGAAAAAGCAAAAGTAGCTCAATAGACAGAAGAAAACTTACTGAAACAAGAGAACGGCCAGACACCAGACAGCGCCTCCAGAGACTCTGCTTATAACAATGAAGTGTGGATAAACTGAAAGAGACCACTGAGGTCCTGCACGTCTTACAAAACGTGGGGGACATGAGCAGCAATGTTTCGAGGGCCCACCCAGGCCCCGGGTGGAAGGATGAGGCTTGTTTTGTCACTGCCCCAGATATCTAAAGAGAAGAGGTGGTCTTCAGGGAAAGACTGAAGAGAGAATGAGCGTAGCTTAGGAGCCGCTCAGATCTCACGAAAGACATTAAGCAAAAGTACACGTGAATTGCCAAGAGCATGACCCTGGGCCATGGACAATCATGCTGATCCAGACGCCCTTTAGAATGGCCTGTCCTGAGTTAAGAGAGAAGCTGGAAATTTGAGGAAGGCCCTGCCAGAGGCTCAGAACAGCACAGGACCTGGGGATGGGGAGGGCTGGTAAGAAAGCATGGGAGGTGGCAAAAACAGCACGTTCCCAAGCCTCTGTGTACCCTTTCTGCTTCCCCAGGCCAGGCCACCAGCCCAAGTTCTGAAAGATGCAATGATTGGTCAGACAAAGAGGGAGAGCTGTCTTGGTGGGCCCACCCATGTGATTGGTGTAAACACAGATCCAGTCTGAACTGCTTCTATTCTCAGATGAATGTGCAGGACTGGCTAGCCCAGGACCTATGGAAAATGGCAGCAAAGGAGGAGAAGATTTAACAGGGATGAGATGAAAAAAAAACCACAATGGCTTTATTCTCTTAAAATAAAAGATTAAATTAAAAAAACCAGACAGACTTTATGAGGCTCTAGATAAGTACCCCAGAATATAGTAGGAGGATGATTCAGTGTGGTGGTACTTTTTGGGGGGAGTGGATCCACAGGGGAAGAAAAGGGGGTGTCCCGGAGTGAATCTCCCAGAGAGGATGTTTTTATGTGTGTGTGGCTTCTCATTAGGCTGAGGACAGTCCTGAGAAGCACACAGTTTAC